GTGACTCTATCGTGATATAGAAGAAATGTTGCATGGAAAGATTCTGCATGGAGATGCTGAGAAAATAAAATAAACAAATGCAAATTAAGAGGTCACACCTTCACAGTTTCGTCCTGTAAATTCCACAAGACAAGAGCAAGTGTAGTTTTCCACCTGGTTGTGACATGTTCCATTGTTTTGGCAAGGACTATCATAGCAATGGTCCATCACTGTGAACAAAGAAACAAGCCTTGTATCAGAGTAAATACGACAAATTTGACCTTTTTTGATCACAGAAAAGTGAAAAATCCCAGTATAATAGCGCTCGTAGATCTAACTCTTGATTTTATTAAACATCAATTATTAATATTATTATTATTATTATTATTATCATTGTTGTTGTTGTTGTTGTTGTTATTATTATTATTTTACACCAGACGTTGCTTTTATCGAGAAATGCAGACATTAAAGTGTAGACCGAGAACAGAGTAAACATTTCTCAAGGTTAACGTCACTAATACTGTAGATGAACTAAAAACCAAGTCTAAACCGACCTTCACAATTATGTCCTTTAAATTCTGCTGGGCAATCACATGTGTAGTTATCCGGGAGACTGTGGCATGTTCCATTATTTTCACATGGAGAATTGTAGCAATAATCCATAGCTGAAAAGAGACAAAAAAATGTTAATCATTTGATGTGGATGTAACCAAGAGAATATTCTATAGTAATGTCTTAAATCTCATATCAAATTCTCTGCACAAAAGGCATACCTTCGCAGTTAAGCCCTGAAGATCCCGCAGGACAATCACAAGAGTACCTGTCTGGGAGATTTTGACAGGTTCCATTGTTTTCGCAGGGGCTGCTTTGGCAATGATTCCTGACTGCAAACAGGTAAGAAATTATCGTAAAATTGTAACGATTAAAATGAATAAATGGCTGACATAAAAGTTGCCATCATCTAGRARTRCAATYTTTATTTATTTATTGCTCTGAAAAGAAGAGTTCGAAGAAGGCATACCCTCGCAGGGGCTGCTTTAGCAATGGTTGACATAAAAGGTTACATCATCTAGTAATCCAGTAATCAGGTATTGCACTTAAGGAAAGGTTCGACGAAGAAATACCTTCACAGTTTTGTCCTGTAAATTCAGCAAGGCAAGTGCAAGTGAAGTTTTCAAAATTGTTGTGACATGTTCCATTGTTTTGGCAAGGACTATCATGACAATGTTCCATTACTGGTAATAAAAAGAAACGAGAGCTGATTTTAACTCAAACAATTGAAATGAATTAATAATACGTTAATGAGGATAAAAGATCTATTTTCTTTTTACTTCCTAACAGTAAGCTAGTATTAGCATAGTCATTTCAAAAGTGTAAAGAAAAAAATGAACTATCCGGAAATATCCGTTCCCTTCATTCAACCTTGCTTGTAGATATTTAATACAAACCTTCACAGTTGTCTCCTGTAAACTGTTCGGGGCAGTCACATGTGTAGTTATCCGCGAAATTGTGGCATGTTCCATTGTTTTGGCAAGGAGAGATATAGCAATAGTCCATCTCTAAAACAAAACAAACAAACAAACAAAAAGGACGTAAAAAAATGGCTTATTAAAAAAAATGGATCACTGGATTGGCTTAGCCAAAATGGTGTATGAGCCAGTATACCATGCTATAAAAATATGAAGAGCGTAAACGTGATGTTTTGGGGCGTTTTTATTTTTAGTTATTTTAGATTTCTAGATTTTGTGTGCGTTTTTAATGAAAACAATTATTCCACTCGCGCTTGTTGGATATGATGTGATTATAGCCAACTCGTTGGCTATCTATCCCCTCTTATAGCTCACCACTAAATTTTCTCCGATTCTTATTGGCTTAAAGTGATCACGTGACGTAATAGTGTTCATCCGCGGAGAGACACTATCAGCCCCTATAGTTCACCACTAAATTTTCTCCGATTCTTATTGGTTTAAATTGATCACGTGACGCGATAGTGTTCATCCGTGGAGAGACACTATCAGTCCATAGTGCTCGTCTGAGGAAAATACCCGGATGGATAGTGCTCGTCCGTGAAAAATTTTCTATAAACAAGCGAGATTAAGCTTATAAAAAAAAA